CTAAGATTTAAGGTGAGCAGAGAAACTTTCCCTGTTCAGTGTGATATAAATATATATATTAAATAAGCGATGCTCAAAAATGCAAATAAAGTAATAATAGACACACACAAAAAACCATATTATACTATTTTGCAAGATTGTTTTTTTCAAGGTATATTGAAGATAAGGGCTAGTAAGAAGTGTTTAATATTGTATGTGTTTTACCCTGCTGTTTATTATTTCCATACAGAATAATTTGAATACATGCAGTGGGTATCAATTATTTAGTTTCTTAAGTTGTGTGTTCATTCTTTATTGTTGTCTTTGTTGGGAGTTCAAAGGGGGACTTTGATATTAATTTTCTTTTTGTTTTGTCTCACAGGATGCTGCCCAATCAGCCGGCTTCCACCCATCTGGAGCTGTGGTTGCCATAGGAACACAGACTGGAAGGTAAGAAGATACCATTACCAAAAAACACAAAATAAATATTTAATTTACATGACTGCTTCAGCTAAAAAGTTATATGAAAACAGTCATTGACAGAATATTCTAGGTTAGATTTGAATTATTATCATTATGAAATGGAAGAAGGATCAGATCTTTGAGCTGCTGTGCTCCTGCAGGTGGCTGGTCCTGGACACGGACTCTAAAGATCTCGTCACGGTTCACACCGACGGAAATGAACAGCTGTCTGTTGTCTGCTACGGGCCAGGTATGGTAATAACTGCTGACCGTGTGTCTCCCCTGTGTATGCAGAGTGTAGTTTTCCTTTTTATTATTGGAAAATGTATGTGTGTATGTTAAAGGAGAATATCAATGATTTTACAAGCTGGAAAACATGTACCATTTATTTAACTACTAATAGTCTTCCTTTATTTCACTTTCTTTAGATGGTAACTTCATGGCTGTGGGTTCACACGACAACTACATCTATATCTACGCTGTGGCGGAAAATGGGAGGAAGTACAGCCGAGTGGGGAAGTGTTCGGTGAGCACCTGTATTTATAATCCCCTCTTGCTCTGTTATTTTTACTTTTCCGCGGCATCTTCTTTATATTTAGTTCCCCTCCACATCCTCTATATTTGGACCTCCACTCTGTACACCCTGTCCTCACTGTGTGTTGATGCAGAAGTTGTAAAGACGTAAATTACAACATGAGACACACAGTGCCGGGTCTGAGTAATCATGTTGCCGTGCTATTACAAATCCTTTCCATATTTTAAGGACTATTTCTAGTACTTCAAAAACCATACTGCATCTACTCCAGGAATACTGGGGTGTCTCTACAATTAAATGATCTAACTGGTTGGTTTCTGTCTCACATCTCAGGGTCACTCTAGTTTCATCACCCATCTGGACTGGTCAGTGGACTCCCAGTACCTGGTGTCAAACTCAGGGGATTATGAGATACTGTATTGTAAGTCTGATCACTATCATCCTCTTACAACCTTTGCTGTGTTGATGGGCTTAATGCACTTTATGTTACATGTATTAATGTGAGCAAGGAAAAGTTCCTCCCAAATTCCAAATAGATATATGTTTGTCTTACCTTTAGTATTTATCAATCTAGATTATTTTTTTCATGTGTGAGTGTTTAGTTTTGGAGATATATTGCTTTTGACACCACAATTCTAATATATTCAAGAGAAGGCAGACATCTCTACAACCCAAATCTGGCACACTGCTTCCAACTCAAATAGCTTTTCAAGTAAAAGGAAAAATATGTATTATTGTTTAAGAAAGCGAACTGTTCCTTTCAGTCGTTCTCTATAAAATAAAATATTCTTTAGTTAAAGTAACAGTAGCTTGATTTATGCTAAAACATGTGTATTAATGTGCTTTCCCAGGGATCCCATCAGTGTGTAAGCAGGTGGTGAGTGTGGAGACCACCAGAGATATCGAGTGGATCACACACACCTGCACTCTGGGCTTCATGGTCTTTGGTAAGTGAAGGCTCCCTCCCACTCTTTAGGTTTTCTGTTTATTATTTGAATGTCCATGAATAAGACGTCTCCGCTGCCCCTTCTTCTCCTCAGGCTTGTGGCCCGACGGCTCTGACGGCACCGACATCAACGCTGTCTGCCGCTCCAGTGATAGAAGCCTCGTGGTTACCGGGGACGACTTTGGGAAGGTCCACCTGTTCTCTTACCCCTGTTCGCAGTTTAGGGTGAGATACTGTTCAACATATGCGCCTCAGTAATGTCTTGAAGAAGATTAAGTGTTTCTCGATTTAGATTAATAGTTTATGGAAAGACAAAGGGCAACATTCATTCTTTGCATTTCTTTTCAGGCTCCCAGCCATGTTTATGGCGGCCACAGCAGTCATGTGACCAACGTGAACTTCCTGTACGACAACGGTTACCTGGTATCAACTGGTGGGAAGGACATGAGCGTGATGCAGTGGAGGATAATCTGAGGGAGCCTGCAGAAACTACTGATACTGTTGGTCTCTCTCTGCTGCTGGGGCCTTAAACCCAGCTAAAGCAAACTGAACTGCACTAAACTGAACCAAACCAAACTTAACTTAACACGGAATACAAAAAAAAGGTTTGATCTGCCTGAACTGAAGTGAATTGACAGAAGAGGAACCCAATGTTTTCTTCCTGATCTGCTCTCAGATCCCAAATGACATGAACTGTTGGAAGTGTTATGTGCGGTTGCTTGAAATACAAATTCTTGAATATTTCACGATTTTCTCTACTCACACTACAATACAAATCTTGCGTACTGTAGCCAACTCACCAATGACATAACAAATCAAGTGGATCAAATCCAACTAAACAGAACCAAAGGCTCTGATTTTCTGACTGCATCTGTATAGTTTGGGTTTCACTGTTCTTGTATTGTTCGTGACTCCTGCCGCAGAGAACGGACTGTTGACTGAATATCATCGCACTGGAGATTCAAGAGCATTGGAACAAAAACAAATTACGGAAAGGAGAAAATTGTGATTTTCTAATTGTTAAACTTTCTTTTCTTTTTGTATTTAACAACTCAGGAAAGCTCTAGTTAAGCAGGACTCTTCCTTGTTATTAACATTGACATATCAGAACAAGCCCTTAACACATCCAAAAACAATGAAGAGAGATATCAACTGCGGTTAATATCTGATTTAATTGTCATTCATCTTGTTGTGTTACCTTATTGTGTACTACCTTTACAGTCCAGGCAATTGCTGAATTTGGAAGGCAAAATAATTTAAAAACAGCAAGTTCCAGTTATATTTGATGTTACCCGACATTTTAAACTATTACCCTTTAAGGGAATGATAATCACAAATGAATTTGTATTCAGAGTTAGGATTTTAACCATTTGATACAACATTTTCTGACCATGTTCAATGTTTTTGTGCTTCCACGTCTTAAAAAAGGCACCTTTCCTATTATTTATTTATCGAAAGTCAAATCCTTCACTGTCAATTTCAGTTCCCTTAAGTTTTTCCCTGCAATAAATCCCTGTTAAGTCCCATATTTGTAAATATACAGAGAGTTTTGAAACCGATACGAGCGAAATGTGGGTGAATACACAGTATTTGAAAGTGTTTCAGATTTTTGGACTGGGTTTTTGTGTCTTTCCTTTGCCTCGAGGTGAAAGAAAAATGAAAAGCAAGCATGTTTTTTTTCTTCTTCTAATGATGTGAAGCCTTTTCAACTCTGTACCCATCTGCATTTTACTGTAGCAGGATCAGTTTATGAAGGGGGGAGTATGAGACCATTACACTGTAACTGTTATCGTCTGATGTGCACCATCAGTCACTGGCAAGATATTTAACTGAACTGAACCCTATTGAAGTTTTTTCTTTTTCTATAATGCACTGCTTCAGCCTGATAAACATACAGCAGGTCTATTTAACTGCAAAATAGGACAAGCAAAACACCATGTAGCACATTACCGGAGCTTTTCATGAACCAATGATGTCTTCTTTCATCCTTCCAACACAAAGCATCTTATGGGTAACAGCAAGCCGATGTTATACACATGAATACACTTGATTTATTTGACAGGGCTTCAGCAGATATGAGGCATATTGGTGTTTTTTTTGAATGCCTGACGGTTGGCTGTCTGAAAACCACTTAAATCTAACTGCAGTGATATAAAGTCGCCACTCTACAGAGTGAATGTAACATGATTTGGAGCTGCAGAGAAGCAATTAACATTTAACATTTGTCTGAAAGTAAATGCAACATGAAATTCCTATGAGACTGTGTCTTGTACTTTCCACTGAATCACTGTTTTCATTATTTCAGTCTTTAAAAACGCTACGATCTGTTGTGGCTAAATATAATGCACTTTTATATGCTGCCGACATTCTTTTTTGTTTATAGAAATTGACCGTATGGTAAAAAGTAAATGTGGCATCTTATTACTGCAGAGAACAACACTAAATGTTATTATTTAATTATTGTTTGTATTTGTTTAAGCGACAGGTATGTAGCATAAACCAATGCCACAAATCTATTATTTATAGCCTACGCCACTTTAGAATGCCTGTGCCTATTTTAGCCTTTAAAATAGATACAACTCAAAAACACATACACGAGAGAGTACAAAATCACAATAAGTACCAATATTAAAACACAGAACTCAACCAGAAAATACAGACTCAGACTCTGAATATTTTATTGACCATTAGGCCTATATTGAAATATAATGGAAAATTGTCTTTGGCAATGGCCAATAAAATAAAAATAATACTCAACAGTATACACAGGCCACACAACAAAAGAGGACACAAACTAACACAAGAACGCATCATAAAAACAAGAAGCACCAGATAATTCATGACAACACATGACTGACCCCACTCTAAAAACTGTTGTTTCAAAGCCCTTTCGACCAAGGAGCACTCAGATCTCATCGTAGGGTGGGTGGGGGGTTCGGTGGGCTGCACGTGCACGTCTTGGCCGCAGGTGGGCAGCATTGAGCCGGCGTGTCCCCCCCTCTCCCTTCTTCGCACGAAGCATTAGCATTTGTCCCCCAAATCTCTCTCCACCTCACCAAAACACTCCGAATGGGAAGAGACTATGGACTGAGGGAGGCGGCGGCTGACGACCACCTTTCACCGGCTTCTACCGAGCACGAGCCCCGGCGGAATATGGACTTAAGGAACGGCGGCGGCGCGTGGGGACAACAGAGACAACGGAACACAAAGCGCACGGGAGGAAACGCTCGTGTCCTCGCTTAGCGTTTCTGCATCATCGGTATTATCTCTACAGACGAACATAAAGGGACACAAAGTGGGAGCTGGCGGGCTGACGCAAAGCCTCGCGGGCTGTATAAAGTGAACAATAAGCGGACTGTTGGTTCTATTCACCGGCCTCCTCTGTGGCATCATCTCTGAATCAAAGACGAGAGAATGAGGTAAGAAGAAGCGCGGCACCATGCGCTCTGTCTGACGCGGCATGACAGATGCTCAGCGACGCTCAGCTTCCAGACTACAACCACATTTCTGCATTTATCTTCTAATAATATGTTAAGCAAATATGATAGTGAAGAAATAGTGAAGAACTGCGTCATTTAGACATATTTTGGCTCGTTTTTGTTCTTGTATTGTGTCCAATCCAGGGGCCCACCCAGCGGGCCTCAGCGTCCTTTACCATTATATAAAAGGCAGTTAATGTCAATATATCAATTGTGCTGTTCACCCTTCTGTCAGCCCTCTTTTGTGATCACCGGACCCACCCAGTGAGGTCTATGCAGGTTTTATAGCCAGGCTAATGTTGTCATGGAAACGACAGCATCATGTTTTTCTGCACATACGGTGCACCTGGTGACTCCAAACGATGAATATGACCGATGCACCGCCCGGTGGCCGCAGCAGGGGGGCATATGATAAAGTGAGGTGGAGGATGGTGTTTATTCTGGTGGTTGCCAGGCAGGTTATAAGACCCCCCCCTTGCAACCCCCTCCTCACACACACACACACACACACACACACACACACACACACACACACCTACATAAGCTCTACTCCATGACGGATCCACACATGCCCATCTCCAGCCTGTGGAAAATGAGTCTCATGTTTAAATCCTCATTGTATATCTATGCCTGTGTGGATGGTATTTTGAGCCTTTCCCTGCTTATGTTGGTATGCAGAATGCGCTGAAGGCCAAATCTTCTCCAGCACAGTCTCTGTATTTTTGTTCTATTTATGACACAGTCCTTTCATATTTCCCCTTTGCTATCCCTTTAGTTTGACTCCCCAGTTTCTCGGTAGCTGCAGCCTGCACCATTCTGTTTCATGGCTTCAGATTTACTCTGAAAGCTCTCCTTAGACACACTAGCTAAGCTACTGGTGTCTGTATGTGTGTGTGCGACTGTCTGGGTTGGATTGCTGCTCCCCTCAGAGACAAAAAGGAGACACAGTGAGAGGAAGGGAATGCTGGTAAAGAGAGGAAGCCATAGTCGAAGTATTCCTGATACTCCTAATTTACCTCTTTCCCTTAACCTCACACAACTCAAAGCCTGCTGATGAACAGTTTTGTTCTCAGACTGTAGCCATGTAAGATGTTAGATTCATATCTTCTAGTCCCGTTGGATGAAGATGTAGTTTCTTCTTTTCTGTTCTGCTAGCTTCCCATCCTGTGTGTTTGTTGTTGCCAGAGGCAGATCAGCTCTTTGACTCGAGCCCACGAGGGAAGTATTAAATCTCCACAAAGCAACAACAAGATGACCTGGCTTTTCTTGTTGAAGAATAAAGAAGACGAAAATTCAATTCAATGAGATACTTTGTTCAGCGTCACTGCTTCCATTGCTGCATTTATGTAAGGAATATCAACGTGCACGACCATGCACGTGAGATATTTTTAGTCCAATAACAGTAGTGGTTTCATTATGTGATGCTCCTGCTCTGTTCTCCTTGTCAGGCGGGCTGATGTCATTTGGTTGGTTGGATGTGTGTGTCTTTGTGTGAGAGGGAGGCTTAGTGGGCTGTGAGAGAAACATTGAAAGAGGGCAAAGAAGCGAGGGCGTCTGTCCTGGACTATTAATGCAGGATGATTTCTGAGGCTGCATGTTGTGGTGACTCATCCTGGGAAAGGTAGAATGAGCGAGTGCAGCCAGTGGAAGGAAAAACGCTGAGTTATGCATCTTACTGCAGGCTGCTGCTGCCCTCAGAGCTGATCTGAGAGCAGCTCCACGTGAGCCAGCGTCACCACGTACAGCCACAACACACATACTCTCAGGAGCCTCACTGGCACAGGAAGAGCATTAGGCAGGGTACATCAGAATTAAACTTGGCTGGGGATTTTTTACACATACTAATACCAATATGATACCTGCATTTCAGAACTAAAGGGTTTTCTTCTTCATCCTTTTCTCTTAGAATCATTTGTATTTAACAAAGGAAGCCAGAGTTCCCAAATATGAACTGTGGATAACCAAACTTTGCACAGATACAGTATTCTAAAGCTTGCAAAAACATAAATCAGACACTTTTTAAACAAACAATATATAAACAATATCCATCTCAGCAGATATTCAATGCTAGTTTTTGGCACTTGACATGTTGCAATATGTAAGGACACTCCTGTAGGTGTCAGCATTAACTGATCATTGAAATATATTGCATGTAACCATACAACAGCAGTGAGTCATATAACCACTTCATATATAGAGAGAATTCACAATTTGTATTTGCATAATTTTCTATATCAGTCGTTCCCTAGAGGGTATCAAAATAAATCTGAGGAGTTGCTGGATTCGAGGTTGGGAATCCTTTGCAATATTATTTATCAATTTGTCAATTAGTCGATAGTTTTGTCTTTTGGGTAGTTACGATAAAACGGAGGGAACAGATTCAAGATTATCTCCATTCGATGTTCTGAGCATTTTTTTTTAAGCACATACCATGTGATTACACCACAACACATTATATAAATGCACACTATAATCTGGTCATTTTCTAGCATTTCCCCTGCATCATACACAAGCTTTGTGTTTTAACGATGGAAGACATCATGTGTCCTTTGGCTTGCTGGAGTTCAAACACGCAGACGACCCCAGCACACACAGGGAAAAGCATTTACAGCTCAGCGAGGCAGCCTCCTGCAGTTTAACCCCATTTTGACGTGTGTTCGTTAGTCAGCAGGCAGCTCTTCCGTTTTCACTTCCATTATGCACAACATACATACGCCAAATATATACAATAGCTTCTGCGGCTTTACTCATCTTTGATGCCTGTTCCTGTAGCCCATTTCATACAAGCTCTGTTTTGGAAAAAGAAGAATATCTTGAATTTCTAGAATGTTTCAGAGTTTGTTGCACGTTTCTTACTTTGTTCTAAACGCACAGAGCCCTTTAACCTTTTACCGGGGCTACTTTGCTCTTTCTTTGTTTCCCACACCTCACTTAATAATCTAAGTTTGTTTCAGCCAGATGGACCAGACCACTGGGTTGAGAACAAATAAAAGGGAACTACAAATGTTCCACCCGATCAATGCATCCTTTGTTGCTTGAACATACAACTAATCATTACATCTGCTCCTGCTGTGCGCTTCATTTTTCAGCTGGAAAACTTGTGTCCTTTAATAACGCTGAATGAATGAAGTGGGTTTCCCTCTCTGTAGATAATTGATGATTAGGGGTTATGCACAGTTATTTAAAATTGTCCTTTTACCGTAGAATCTATTTCAATCTGAATTGTAGACGCGAGTTGTGTAAGCACTCCTGTTTTCCTATATAGGCTAACATGTAATTTCCATCCAGTGGAAATGATTCCTTGGAGGTTGAAAGACGGCACTCCACAATCCTCCGATCGGAGAGAGGTGACTGGTCTGCTCTGATCACATGTTCCTCTCCCTCTCTCTCCCTCTCTTACATTCCCTTACTCTGTTGCAACACTCCTCATCTCTCTCTCTCTCCCTCCCTCCCACTCTCTCTGTGTCTCAGTCTTATGTCTGTTCTGTTTGCGTGGTGGAGGTTTTCTTTTTTGGGAAACATTTTCAGAGGATGTGAATGAAGAAGGGGAAAGGTTGAGTTTTGCTTCGGCGTCGGACAGCATGTGTACGGCTCTCTCCTGTCAGGCTGACACTTCCCCCTCTCCTCCATAATCTCCCTCTTTATACCTCCTTTCATCCTTTGCCTGAGGACTGGGCTGTCTTCTTCATCGTCATGTATTCCCTGGACGATTTTGGGTAAGCCAAAGCGACTCCTATCATTACCTCGTTCTCTATCTGTTCTTTAAGTTGTTCTGTAATGTGCGAGTAAAAGGGCAATTTGCTTTTGATTGGCTGTAATAATTCTCTCTCTTGTGTTTCTGTTTAAGCCTGGCTCATCTTTCAGACCACAGAATGCCGCTTTTTTGAACAGCATGTGTAGGATTGTTTGAAAGAAAAACCTGTTTGAAAGAGAACCGGTTTGTCTTTACGTCTCCAGCTCTACATGCTGTGTTAAATAATGCTACTGGCTTAAGTTGGAGAGGAACAACAAGGGAAACTGCAAGAGGAAAATCTCCTCTAGGAGTTGCCGACTTTCTCTCGCCTGTCTCCTTCTTTCCAGCCCTCTGTCTGTGTTTTCTCTGGGGCCAGCTGTTAGCAGAGGCGTCTGATTGGTTACCCTTTAGCAATATTTCATTGGTTCGGTGTTTTTCCTGGGAAGAAGGAACACGTCTCTGGATGTCTGTCAGTGTTTGGGCTCAGCTGCTCTCTGCCGTCCACAGGATGGATCCCATCTGACTCGTTGTGTGAGAAAGACAGACAGGAAGAAAGGGATAGAGAGCGCTAATCTCAGAATGGCTGCATGAGTGGGACTATCAAAAGCCAGATGATGCAAGGATAGAGGGTTCTCTATATAATATGGCCTTGGCAGATTACAGCGTAGTAATTTGTTGGAGCTCAAATACAGATGTGGATCCAAGTGGGGCAGAGTAGATAACATCAGAGGTTTAGGCTCCATCGCTTGCACTCTAGTAATCTACTGTATAGTACAGCAGATCTCTCCCACAGTATGTTCATTATTTACGAGGCACTGCTCATTCTGCCATTCAGATTATAATACTGCACAAAGAAAGACACTTGGAGAATATATTACAGCTTCTCTGCTCACATTACTTCAGGGAACATGGTCTTAAGGGTATCTGCATACATTTAAACATTTAAATGTCTAATAAAACGACTACACCTGTAACGTATTTTGTGGTGTTGTGACCTTATTATCCCCAAAGTGTTCAACAATTTTCAAGCCTAGAGACATTTGTAGTTTAAATGAAGGGAATATTTGAATGCCCTTTAATGGTGATGCTTGTAACATGCATCAGCGCCATAAATAGATTTTGTATCCAGTTTGAAATCACATTTTTATGATACACTATTTAGATCTTGGTCATTTTATCTATATATTTTAAACGGTCACCGGACATG